TCTTGAATATCACACATTTTTAGATTTATTAGATAATATTGTACCAGCAACATTGGATATTTATGCAATTTTATTTCATGAAGGTCATTTTGAAGAATATTTGGAAACAATCTTTTGACTTTGGACTATTATGAAACGGTTTGGAAGAAAAAATTATGATAAAATAATGATAGCTTTTATCTCTGATGTTCTTTATTGGCAAAGCATTGAACATCCTATGTACAATATTTTATCAGAAAATTTACAAGAATTTAATGAATATTTTGTAGAAAATTAAATTTTCTGGTTAATATTAAGAAACAGTTTATACAGTGCTATGGATTTTTTATATATAGGTTAATATTATATCCAATTATTTTATTGAAAAGGCAAATATCATGAATGTTTATTATAATTGTATGGACCTGTAACAGTTCATTTTATTTTACGTCTCTTATGGAACGAGACACAGTAACATGAAGATCCTTTTTTTTTTATTTATTTATCATTGCATATATTATTATTTATATTACTAATGTTTTATTATTATTCTTTATGTACACAAGTTACTAATTAAGTGCCACAGCTTTCCGGGAAGTTCTAAGATATTAATTAATTACATATTTATTTATCAATTGTAATATTAAATTATTATATGTATTTTTGTTATAAGAGATAAGCTTTCCATAATAAAATAAAGTAACTTGTATTTTTACAATTTAAAAAAATTTGATTTTACTTGTATTTTGACGTAAGGAAAAGGGTTTCCTTACAGGATCAGACAAATAGGCTTATATAGTTTGTGATATTTCAAAATGCATAGGATTCCATATACTTACTGATTTAATTAAATAATCCATTTTGCAGAATTATTCATAAAAAATACTTTGTAGGTATATAGGAATCATACTATTCAAAATTCCATCTGTCACCAATAGAGGGTATATCTGTTGAATATTCAAATATTCGCCAATCATTCTAGTCACCAAAAGTTATCTGATGATCATCATACTCAAATTAAAAAATTTGAGATCAAGGAATAAATTTTTTTTTTAGATTTTTAAATTTGATAATTATGTTCAGAAACACAAAATTTTAACTTCCATTTAAATATTTATATATTAATATATATATATATATAATGTTATAACATTGCTAAAAAAATTTTTCCTTCTTCATGTGAAGAAGCCAATGCTCCTGTGGAGAGCATTCTTTGAGAGCTTCGCCCTCAAAGAATTTTTGGACACCATGCATTTTCCATATTAAATAGATTAATTTTCATCCCTCATCTTTCCTTTTTTTCTGATATAACTAGTGTATTATTGTTACATGCTTATAATATCTATCCAATTATCTAATAAATCATATGTACATATCTTTATTTACATTGTAAAAATCAAATCACAGATACCATTTGGCACTATTTGCTCAACCATTGCAACTTTTGGTCTATTTATAGTAATTATTAGACTACTCAATCAATGCACCATTTGGCCATAAAATAGTCTATTTTATGAAAAATTACATCATTGTGGAAAAGGATGCTAGGATGTTTTGCATCCAACTATTCAAAAGAATAATTCATATTTTCATTACTGCTAAATTTAGAAATGATTATCGCAGGCTAGTCTAAATTTAGTACTGATATTAGCGGCATTTCATCGTGAACATTAGCAGTCGCAGGACATTGCGGATCTACAGGGGGTCAAGTGTCACTAATAAAAATTTTTTGATCAACACGGAATTTTATATGAAAAAATGAAGAAAAAAATCATGCTTTCATACACAAACTTGCCTGATCTAATCAAATTGTTACTTGAATCATAAAAAATAACAAATATATGAAAAAACCTTTATTTTGATGTATTTTTTGCCAGGGTAAACAAATACCACTAAGCGATAATCTTAACATGAAGTTGGACTACCA